GCTTGCTTTAGAGCTTTGGAAAGAAGTTGGCCAGTCGCGAGCTCAAAACTTCTTTAAACACATAAATTACTACTATCCTACAGCCTACCTCTTACTCTGCTCTTCCTCTACTGCTTGATAATGCCATGAATGTTCATTTATCTAATGATAAATTGTGGGAATTACTACCAATGCCTGAAGCTCCTTGGCTGCCTGCCAGGACATCTGTAAAAGAACATCCAGGATTTTGCGTCAGAAAACTGCAGGGTATGAGGCTATTTGTGATCTTGTGCTTTCTACTAAAGCTGCAGATGCCATAACAGATCCAATCAGAAAAAAAGGTTCAGCTATAGTAGCATAAAGTTCAGTATTTTGTTCAAAGAACATTTATTTCTAACTTACTCTTCAACTTTTAACGTTCTAGCACACATTAGAATGAACTGCAATGCATTATTCAATTACAGGGGTATACTCTGGGGGGATTTTCTGCAGCTACCAAGGTTGTCAGCTACACACTACATAAACAGGAGGTGAGCGTAGCTAACATGAGCCAAGTCCTTAATCTCAGTCTTACCGCAATCACACACTATTACTGTCTTTTTGCAAATCAAATGCATACAACAGTCTACAGCACTATGTTCTACTTAAGTGATTTCTTAAATTCAAAATACGTTTTGTTTACCTTGATGATGAGTGTGACTTCTCCTTGGTGTCCCTTTCTTGTTGAAGAAGCAGGGGCTGCGGGTGGGTGCTCAAGCGGTGGCAGGGAGGGCTGAGGGCCAGGCAGCCCTGCATGGCTCTGCCATCAGGGACGAGGCAGAGTCCTCCGTCAGCTCTCCCAGGCACCTCCTGTTTTTCCTGCGACTTCCAAAGTACAAAGATTTCAGTAAACAGTTAATTTCTGGGAAGATGGTCCATTTGTGGCCTCTAGGGTTTCCCTGCAAGTGCTAAAAATATTGCACTCGTGGTATTGTGGTATAAGTCTGCCAAAATCCACCATTTGATGTTTCTTCTTTTAGTAAGGCATTAGTAATGCAGATCTGTTTAGTTTCTTTTCCATGTCAGTACCTCAGGCCTTTTCTGGATTGGGAACAAGTCAACTTCCACCAAGAACTCAGTATAGATCAGCATTGTCAGAGAACATTTCTTGAAGGTAAAACCTGCTTTAGAGGCTTGAATGAGTGGCATTTAAGAGATAGTTAGTTCACGCTCTTCATCTGTTAAACAATGAGCAAAGTTACTCTGTTACATTGGAAGTGACCAGTAAGAAGTCATTATATTTATTCAATTTCCCAGAACTAATTATAACATACCCCACCCTCACGCGTGTACGCCCTCTGTCCCTTTGGTGGTCTCTGGGCTACAGCCCTCTCACTTTTATTTTTTAACCCTCTGGATGCTGGTTCATGATACTGTCACCAAAAAACGTGAGGAAAAAAACCTCTTAACACCAATGTAGTATTAAGAAGCAGGCATTCGCTTTATTGCAGCACTGCGTGCATGAGGGATAGCTCCACCTATCGTGCACACCCAAAGATGTGTTTGCTAAAGCTTTTATTTCTAAATTATCTACATATGCATTAAATTCTTGGATGATCATATTTATTCAATTATATTTATTCAGTTTCCCAGAACTAATTATAACATACCCCACCCTCACGCGTGTACGCCCTCTGTCCCTTTGGTGGTCTCTGGTGGGTTTTGAGACCCCCTGGTGCTTGTCTCGCCGTGTCCACTTGATGACGACTCGGAACTCACTTCCATACATGGCCCCATTCTGGCTCAGAGGCCCTGTTTTGGTCCTACTGTCCAGTTCCAGACAATGCTTTGAAGATACAGTCCTTATCTTCGTCTTCAACCAGTCTTTGCTGTTTTTGTCCATTTTCTCTCATGATGTCCCAGGAACATCTGCTGTTTTGTATTTTCCGGCAACAACAGCGAACACATGTCCTTGGGTGCATTCTCTTCCGGGGTTTCTCATAACAATACCAAACACACACGCTTAGGAAATCATCATTACATCAAGTCTGAATATTCCTTGTTCAGTGGCAGTACTTGTGAAACACAAAAATCTTTGGTCTAACAGCTTCAGATTGGAAAGCAAACTGCTCTCTTTGCCGCTCTGCACATCTCCATGCGCCTGTGCACCTGTGGCTCGTGTTTTGGTGCCAGACAGCGTTGGCAGAGGGTTTGCAAGATGCTCGTGTATGTGATCCATTGTCCTACACTAAGATCAGCGCTTGGAAAGAGCTCAGGCATCTGATTTCTGAGGCTGACTGGAGAGCTTGGTCCTCTCAGCTGGCCTCACATGGAAAGATGACTGTGTCTATTCAGTGCCTATGTGTAAAAAGTTCAACAACACTTTGATTAAGCCCAATCATTTTGAGATTTTTTTTTTCTTTTTGCTTTGCTGCATCTGTTAATAAAACAGTTTAACTGTTTTCCAGTGGTGGAGAAAATGATGATGATTCTGACCAGAACTGGAAACCTCCAGAAAATGATCTGATCCAGAAGTTAATAGCACAGATTGAATATTACTTCTCAGATGAGAACCTTGAGAAAGATGCCTTCCTCCTAAAGCATGTGAGGAGAAATAAGATGGGCTACGTCAGTGTTAAGCTCCTCACTTCTTTTAAGAATGTAAGTTAACTCATCAAAACTTTTAGTACCTTGTATAAGTCTAATTAATCTAAAAAAATTTAGAAGACATGAAAATAACTTATTTCATAGGGACATTTTTTTTTCCTCTTTATCTACCTCTCCGATTTCATGCAATTTTGAGGTGATGGTTTGTTTTTCTAGAACTTGAGTTTCTAAACTCTTTCATGACTGTCTAAGGAAATCATACACTTTAAAATGACTATATTTTTAAATTATTCTGGGAGGCAGTCAAGTCAGAAGGAATCTTTTCCTCTGAGGAGGGATGGTGAATTCAATACCCTTTGCAGAAGTATGGAGATCTAAAAGCTAGAGTAGTAGAAAGTATCTGGTTACAGAAGTCATATAGACTCAAGATCTGCATGCTTACTGTAATTAGTATAAATGGTTAATTTAAGATTAAACAAGATTAAATTTAATTCTTAAATTTAAGAATTTTTAAGATTAAGTAAGTAGATAAGATTAACTGTTCTCCTTAAACTCTGTCTATCTTAAAGGTGAAACAACTTACCCGTGACTGGAGAACCACAGCATATGCACTCAAGTACTCAGGCACTCTTGAGCTCAGTGAGGATAACAGAAAGGTTAGAAGAAATACTCCAGTTCCAGTGTTTCCAAGTGAAAGCCACCCTACCAAGATGTTACTGGTGTATGATATCCACTTGATGTCGGAGCTGCAGGCTCTCAGCAAGGAGCAAGAAAATGGATGTATGCAAGAAAAGATAATGGAGCATCTCCTGAAAGCCTTTGTAACTTTTGGTGTAATTTCATCTGTTCGTGTTCTCAAACCCGGTAGAGATCTACCGGCTGATGTCAAGAGGTTCAGCAGTCAGTACAACCAAATAGGAACACAGGAATGTGCAATTATAGAATTTGAAGAAATAGATGCTGCCATACATGCTCATGACTTCATGTGTGCTGAAAAGAAAGAAACTGGCATGAAAGTTGCGTTAATAGGCATGAAACCTCCAAAGAAAAAAGTTCCCAAAGATAAGAACCGATATGAAGGCTCCACCAAGAGTCTCAACAAGGCTAAATCCCTTAACAAGAGAGTTGAGGAGCTTCAGTTTGTTGGTGATGAATCTTCAGCAAATAGCTCTTCTGACCCAGAGAGTAATCCTACATCACCACTGTCAGGACGTAAAAGTATGGCAACAAGTACTACAAATAAATTAAGTCCTATCATTCATTCAAACAACCATCTGAGTCCTAATGTGTCACCCAGATCAAGTCCTTGGAATAGTCCGTCTTCACTAAGAAAAGTGACCAGAAAGTCTCCGCTAGCTGAAGACAGCAAGCTTAACCCAAACGCTAGCCCTGAAATTCCAAGGAAAGGCATGGATTATTCTTCAGATAGCAGCATCACTCCTTCTAGTAGCCCATGGGTACAGAGAAGGAGGCAAGGCCAAACTATAACACAAGAGAAGAGCCCAGTCAGCAGCCCCATGCTAGCTCGCAAAATACAAAATGCAGATGGTCTTCCTGTAGGGGTGCTGCGGCTACCCAAAGGGCCTGATGGCACTAAGGGATTCCATTGTGCGTGTGAAAGAAGGAAAGCTGTCAAGAATGAACAAATTATTCTTTAAAAACAACTTTGTATTACAGTCAGCCAACTGCTTTTGTTAAAGCCCGGTGAAAGACTGTCAACTGAGTGGCAGAATTAAATCAGTATTTATTTTTAAAGATTTTTGTATTCCTGCAGAGACTTTATCATTAGTGTATTCATTAATTACATTTTTATCTATTAGCTGGAAGGAAATGCCTAGGCATTGAAACAGGCATCTAAAACCATTCATGTAACTACATTATTTGTAAGCTATGACCCTGAAGAGTAGTGTGTAGACACTTACTGTTTAGCAGTTGTATTTTGATAACTATGGTATGTTACCAGTCTAATCTTAAGGAATAGGGGTTTTGAAGGCTTATGTTACAGAGAGCAGTTCCTCTCGCCTTGCATTTATCTCCAAAGACACTAGCTATAATTTACAGGACCAAAGTGTGTGTGCTTCCTGTGATGTGTATCAGGATGCTGAGCATTGAAGACTGTTCTGCAAGTTTTAACTTATAATCAGAAGAAATAAACTAAAACATTAACTCTGTCTAAATCTATGTCTTTTACTTTATGCAAAAAGTTGCACCGGAACAGACACCTAAACCAGATCTATACCATATAAAATTCTAATTGTTACTAAATTTACAGTGCGCTCAGTAAAAAGAATAGACTGAGATGTGCTCTGCCCCACTGTGGATTGTTATTTTAGTGGTGATACTTCACTCTCCTGTTGACTATAGGGCAGAGGCACTTTCATACAATATTGTAAACTAAACAATGGTGATCTCGCATTAGCCCCAAATTTAACAAAAAGGCTCAGCAATAAAGGCTTAAATTAGAATTATCTTATCTGAAGCCGAAGAAGGTACCTTTGCAGTTTTATTTAGAAGACTATACTCCTGGAAAAGAGCCAGCTACTAATTTACAATTAAAACTGTGTAAGACATAGTAGATTCTTCTTCATTCTACTCTACATCTTTCCAACTTTCATTTCTGTTTTAAGTGCACTTAAGTGCAGAGGAAACAGTTGCAGCAACACAAGGTTAGCAACCAGTGCCCTGCTGTGCACAAGAAGCCATCACTCCTGAGGAATCATTTCCATGCCAGCCAGATTCCTGGTTCTTTTCCTCGACACAAAGGAAATCAACCACATGATCCTGATTTCCACTACTGGTAGAAACACTACAAATACAGATACTGTTAATTTCAGCCTTTCTATCAGATGCAGCAGATCTGCAGGTATTCAAGTGACAGGTAGGGAAGACAATCTTCTGAAGACTGATTCCCTTGCTCTAGGTTACATACAACAGCATCATCTCAGTAAGTACCCAGACCATTTCCTTTTTTCTTCTTTATAAGGAATAGTATCTTGCCTAATAGTAATATATATAAATACACACTGATTTTATATACGAGGAAAACACCGTATTTGTATCAATTTATCTTAGAATTCTGGAATAACGAGTTAATCTTTTCCTTTGCAAAGGTACTCTTTGCCTTTGTGAGAGCTAAAAATAAATCCTCATGTAGGTGGTGGTAGTCGTCACCAACTACCCTTCTGCTCCCTGGTCACTAGCAGCCCTCTGTGCCCACCCTCCTTCCCCAGCAGGACTGCAGCGTCTCCTCCGGCGCGGCCCGTTCTGCTGCTCTACCCCACAGGGGTCACGGAACCCAGCACATTGTGAAGTCGCTGCTTTAAACCAGGTGCACTGAGAACAACTAAAACCCCTCCTTGGTTCAGTCACAACATGAACAGATCAAAGGTGTTTGTCATTAATCAAGTAAGTCTGCTTTTTAATTATGGGCAAAAATACTTGTTATTGTTTTACAAGGTAATGTTTTAATCCCAGTTGTCTGTGATATGAAACAAATGAGGTTCTTCTGCTCTTCACGTGTTATACAAGCAGAGGGACTTTGTGTTCAGCCAAAATGGGACAAGTAAAATGAACGTTGAAGTCCAAGACATCATACCAAGATGTGCTACCATATCAGGTAAAGTTTGATTGTAGGACAACCCAGCATAATACATGGATTTCAGCATGCACATAATCATGTATTTTGTTTAAAATTACTTCAATTATAAAGTGGATTTTAGCATAGCAACTTAGCTATTATTGTTAAAAAAAAACACAATAAGATTAAAATAAACTTAAATATTTCTAAGATATAGTAAAAACATGAAGTAAAAAAAATATTCCTTTGTGTAGTAAAAATTATAACAGTAACAATTTGTGAGAATTATAAATTGGAATTTATATAAATGTATTTAGGAAGCCCAAACTATGAAAGTATTTTTAAAAAATAACAAAATAAAACTGAAATGATATTGTATGCTCCATTAACAATGTCCAACCTTTGTATGCCTGAAAATTACAGAATAGTCACGTGTGAAGGCTGCAGAATTTGCACTTATACCAAAAAGTAATGGTATTCACTGCAAAAACATTTCGTTTTTCAGCCAATAGTCCTGTACTGGACAGGAAAGCACTCAGCTATATCAAAGTCATAGACACCATCAAGCCGTGGAGAACTGCTGGGAAACCTTTCGGTAAGGATTACTTGGTGGTTTACCCTGCAGTGAGCCCTGCCTGCATGGACTTTAAAACTCTCTCAGAGTTTAGTGCAAGGACGTCCCTTGTAAGGATGTTAGTGCAGAAAGACCACAACAGGGTGAGGATAATATTTTCAAAATAAGGTTAATTTTCATTCATAACTTGGTTTCTACTTACCTGAATTAGAAGATCTGTCCTCATTATAAAACTGACCTAGGAGTTTTTCAGACAGGTAATTTTGCTAGCATCAAAATTTTTGTGCTTTATACAGCCATGAAGAATAACGTATCATTGCAATACAAACAGGTAAAAACTACTGTGTGGTGAAATACACCACATAACTTACTAAAGCCAACGAGTAGGTAACCCTTTCCATTCATCTTTCCAGTAGTTAAATGTAGTAGAAACCTACTGACAGTTGTTTGTTTTATAAACTTCAGCCTGGCTTCCTAATCATGAAATGCTTAAGATTAAAAATAAAAACGAGCAAGAACAGTACCCATTCCTGCAGAAGGAGCAGCCTCTAGAAGATAAACCTCACAAATACTATTGCTATCCATTCTGGCAACAGAGATGGAGTAATTAATTATTCATTAAAATTAATTTTAGAACAAAACTCTAATTCTGTTAGCTTTATGTCCTCATTTCAGTGGTTACAGGTAGTGCAAATTGTACATTAGTTAAATTGTATAGGTGAAAGGATTATGATTGGTGGCTACTCAGGATATTAAAATAAATAGATCCATACTGTATAATCATTTCATGAACAATCTTAAGCTAAGTATGTCCATTTTTATGAAATTAGTTTAATTGAATTAAAGTGTACATTTACTCTTTGCTTGCCTTTTTATTTCCATTAGTGGAAATAATGGCAAGAATTCTGCCCAATAATGCAAGGTTTGTTTAGAATATGATTTCTTGGATTCCTCTCTTTAATACTTAGGACAGCTGAATGTACTAGAATTAGGCAGTAAACACACTATGAGCTTGCAGTTACTCTAAAGTCACACTGATGAACTACAAGGGGGACTAAGGAGAGGCTGAACTAACGATCCTGAAGATTTTTCATATAGCTACACTTCCAAAAACTAGAATGGCCTAACAGATACAATGAAATAGTAGCTGATACCTGATTTATGCTTTCTGCAGTGTGTGACCGATTTTCTCTCTGGGCAAGTTAGAGAAGTGGACAGAGGAAACCTGCAACGCTATTCAACATCCCCAGCTCCTGCTTTCTTCACGTTCCACCAATCTGCGGTTACACCTCATGGACAGCTGGCTGAGTTTCACTGGCACATCAAAAACTAAGCTACATAAACAAAGGATATCTCAGCCTATCCAAGCAAAGAGGTTTTGATCCATAATTCTTAAAAGCCATTCCAAAGAGTTGATAGTCAAAATACTTAATATAGGAAAAGTACAATGAGAATGGAGTTAGGAGCACAGTAATTAGATTGACATACATAGTTCAGTCATTTCTTCGGATTTGGGGGCCTATTACAGCCCATTTTAGCTATATTTTCTTATATTAACAGCTGCACCTTTCAACTTCTCTGTGACTTTGCAGTCACTTGTCTGTGATTTTTTATCCAGCTTTGCAAGCTGGAGGAGCCAGAGTTGAGTGACAGCCGGTTCTTGCTATTTTATAAAGAGTGACCTGAAAGTAGATCAAATAGAACAACTAAATGCTTACCTGGGACATCACAGTGCACTGCTCGTCCCAGTCATCCGCCTCTCTTGGGAGATAACAGCAAAGCGACACGGGTTTCCTCCAGCTGCTGCCAGGAGGTCCTGTTATTCCTAACTCTCCTCCAGTGAGACATTAAATTTGTTGAGGGGGAAAGATTCACTATGCACAACCAAATTACAGGGCATTTAAAGGCATTTCTTTAGATTCCCAGTGTCTACATATTAATGGTGATCTACATTTTTACTAGATTACTATATTTTTCCTTTGATTTGTCTTCAGATACTTTTATAGGAAAAGTGGTGTTCAAAAGAATTACTGAAAAACAGAGTTATAAAAGTTTTTTTTAATTAAATAAAACCATTTAAAATATACCAGATAAATTAGGAGAAGTTATCTAAATATTCCTTTTACATTTTAAAATAGATTATTTATTACACAAGTCAAACACTATCCTTACTTATTATCTATAAACAGTGAACAGACTTATTTCATTCAAGATACAAACGTCGCAGATCTGTTTCCCAAGCAGAGCACATATTAATAAAGTGGAGGATATTTTAACCTTCTGGCCAATTTCTCAACTGCTACCCAGTTGATTAGAAGTCTACTAAAATGGAAAACAAACAAACAAAAACAACAACAAAACAAGAAATCAAAGCACAAGCAGAAGAAAATAGAACCTCTGCAAACGCTGAGCTGCCATAAGCTAACTCACTGTTTTAGTACATTTCAGTTTCACATGTAGTTGGTCAGTGGCTGCCTCCAATTTAGTAATTAATTCAGACTTCATGATTTT